TGTACATAGAATGTAGTGAACGGGTTGTTTCCTTTAGTTCTGCTGTACATAGAATGTAGTGAACTGGTTGTTTCCTTTAGTTCTGCTGTACATAGAATGTAGTGAACTGGTTGTTTCCTTTAGTTCTGCTGTACATAGAATGTAGTGAACTGGTTGTTTCCTTTAGTTCTGCTGTACATAGAATGTAGTGAACTGGTTGTTTCCTTTAGTTCTGCTGTACATAGAATGTAGTGAACTGGTTGTTTCCTTTAGTTCTGTTGTACATAGAATGTAGTGAACTGGTTGTTTCCTTTAGTTCTGCTGTACATAGAATGTAGTGAACTGGTTGTTTCCTTTAGTTCTGTTGTACATAGAATGTAGTGAACTGGTTGTTTCCTTTAGTTCTGCTGTACATAGAATGTAGTGAACTGGTTGTTTCCTTTAGTTCTGTTGTACATAGAATGTAGTGAACTGGTTGTTTCCTTTAGTTCTGCTGTACATAGAATGTAGTGAACAGGTTGTTTCGTTTAGTTCTGCTGTACATAGAATGTAGTGAACTGGTTGTTTCCTTTAGTTCTGCTGTACATAGAATGTAGTGAACTGGTTGTTTCCTTTAGTTCTGCTGTACATAGAATGTAGTGAACGGGTTGTTTCCTTTAGTTCTGCTGTACATAGAATGTAGTGAACGGGTTGTTTCCTTTAGTTCTGCTGTACATAGAATGTAGTGAACGGGTTGTTTCCTTTAGTTCTGCTGTACATAGAATGTATAGAACTGGTTGTTTCCTTTAGTTCTGCTGTACATAGAATGTAGTGAGCGGGTTGTTTCCTTTAGTTCTGCTGTACATAGAATGTAGTGAACAGGTTGTTTCCTTTAGTTCTGCTGTACATAGAATGTAGTGAACTGGTTGTTTACTTTAGTTCTGCTGTACATAGAATGTAGTGAACTGGTTGTTTCCTTTAGTTCTGCTGTACATAGAATGTATAGAACTGGTTGTTTCCTTTAGTTCTGCTGTACATAGAATGTAGTGAGCGGGTTGTTTCCTTTAGTTCTGCTGTACATAGAATGTAGTGAACAGGTTGTTTCCTTTAGTTCTGCTGTACATAGAATGTAGTGAGCGGGTTGTTTCGTTTAGTTCTGCTGTACATAGAATGTAGTGAACGGGTTGTTTCCTTTAGTTCTGCTGTACATAGATTGTAGTGAACGGGTTGTTTCTTTTAGTTCTGCTGTACATAGAATGTAGTGAACTGGTTGTTTCATTTAGTTCTGCTGTACATAGAATGTAGTGAACTGGTTGTTTCCTTTAGTTCTGCTGTACATAGAATGTAGTGAACAGGTTGTTTCGTTTAGTTCTGCTGTACATAGAATGTAGTGAACTGGTTGTTTTCTTTAGTTCTGCTGTACATAGAATGTATAGAACTGGTTGTTTCCTTTAGTTCTGCTGTACATAGAATGTAGTGAACGGGTTGTTTCCTTTAGTTCTGCTGTACATAGAATGTAGTGAACGGTTTGTTTCCTTTAGTTCTGCTGTACATAGAATGTAGTGAACTGGTTGTTTCTTTTAGTTCTGCTGTACATAGAATGTAGTGAACTGGTTGTTTCCTTTAGTTCTGCTGTACATAGAATGTAGTGAACTGGTTGTTTCCTTTAGTTCTGCTGTACATAGAATGTAGTGAACGGGTTGTTTCCTTTAGTTCTGCTGTACATAGAATGTAGTGAACGGGTTGTTTCCTTTAGTTCTGCTGTACATAGAATGTAGTGAACGGGTTGTTTCCTTTAGTTCTGCTGTACATAGAATGTAGTGAACTGGTTGTTTCCTTTAGTTCTGCTGTACATAGAATGTAGTGAACTGGTTGTTTCATTTAGTTCTACTGTACATAGAATGTAGTGAACTGGTTGTTTCCTTTAGTTCTGCTGTACATAGAATGTAGTGAACTGGTTGTTTCCTTTAGTTCTGCTGTACATAGAATGTAGTGAACGGGTTGTTTCCTTTAGTTCTGCTGTACATAGAATGTAGTGAACAGGTTGTTTCGTTTAGTTCTGCTGTACATAGAATGTAGTGAACTGGTTGTTTCCTTTAGTTCTGCTGTACATAGAATGTAGTGAGCGGGTTGTTTCCTTTAGTTCTGCTGTACATAGAATGTAGTGAACGGGTTGTTTCCTTTAGTTCTGCTGTACATAGAATGTAGTGAACGGGTTGTTTCCTTTAGTTCTGCTGTACATAGAATGTAGTGAACGGGTTGTTTCCTTTAGTTCTGCTGTACATAGAATGTATAGAACTGGTTGTTTCCTTTAGTTCTGCTGTACATAGAATGTAGTGAGCGGGTTGTTTCCTTTAGTTCTGCTGTACATAGAATGTAGTGAACAGGTTGTTTCCTTTAGTTCAGTTGTACATAGAATGTAGTGAACTGGTTGTTTACTTTAGTTTTGCTGTACATAGAATGTAGTGAACTGGTTGTTTCCTTTAGTTCTGCTGTACATAGAATGTATAGAACTGGTTGTTTCCTTTAGTTCTGCTGTACATAGAATGTAGTGAGCGGGTTGTTTCCTTTAGTTCTGCTGTACATAGAATGTAGTGAACAGGTTGTTTCCTTTAGTTCTGCTGTACATAGAATGTAGTGAGCGGGTTGTTTCGTTTAGTTCTGCTGTACATAGAATGTAGTGAACGGGTTGTTTCCTTTAGTTCTGCTGTACATAGAATGTAGTGAACGGGTTGTTTCCTTTAGTTCTGCTGTACATAGAATGTAGTGAACTGGTTGTTTCCTTTAGTTCTGCTGTACATAGAATGTATAGAACTGGTTGTTTCCTTTAGTTCTGCTGTACATAGAATGTAGTGAGCGGGTTGTTTCCTTTAGTTCTGCTGTACATAGAATGTAGTGAACAGGTTGTTTCCTTTAGTTCTGCTGTACATAGAATGTAGTGAGCGGGTTGTTTCCTTTAGTTCTGCTGTACATAGAATGTAGTGAACAGGTTGTTTCCTTTAGTTCTGCTGTACATAGAATGTAGTGAACTTGTTGTTTCCTTTAGTTCTGCTGTACATAGAATGTAGTGAACTGGTTGTTTCCTTTAGTTCTGCTGTACATAGAATGTAGTGAACTGGTTGTTTCCTTTAGTTCTGCTGTACATAGAATGTAGTGAACTGGTTGTTTCCTTTAGTTCTGCTGTACATTGAATGTAGTGAACTGGTTGTTTCCTTTAGTTCTGCTGTACATAGAATGTAGTGAACTGGTTGTTTCCTTTAGTTCTGCTGTACATAGAATGTAGTGAACTGGTTGTTTCCTTTAGTTCTGCTGTACATAGAATGTAGTGAACTGGTTGTTTCTTTTAGTTCTGCTGTACATAGAATGTAGTGAACTGGTTGTTTCCTTTAGTTCTGCTGTACATAGAATGTAGTGAACTGGTTGTTTCCTTTAGTTCTGCTGTACATAGAATGTAGTGAACTTGTTGTTTCCTTTAGTTCTGCTGTACATAGAATGTATAGAACTGGTTGTTTCCTTTAGTTCTGCTGTACATAGAATGTAGTGAACTTGTTGTTTCCTTTAGTTTTGCTGTACATAGAATGTAGTGAACGGGTTGTTTCCCTTCCACCCAGTGACATACATGATGGTAGGTTGGGTAGGGACAAAGATGATGGTAGGTGGGGTAGGGACAAAGATGATGGTAGGTGGGGTAGGGACAAAGATGATGGTAGGTGGGGTAGGGACAAAGATGATGGTAGGTGGGGTAGGGACAAAGATGATGGTTGGTGGGGTAGGGACAAAGATGATGGTAGGTGGGGTAGGGACAAAGATGATGGTAGGTGGGGTAGAGACAAAGATGATGGTAGGTGGGGTAGGGACAAAGATGATGGTAGGTGGGGTAGGGACAAAGATGATTGTACGGGGGGTAGGGACATCACTAACATGACGGTACATGGTCAAGACTGAAGTTTGTATGACGGACACGTGTTAGAACTTTAAGCACTCAGCCTGGCGGTCGCCTTGCCGGGAAAAGTTTCCTTAAAATTCCTGGCCTTAAGGATGCTCGTGTCCCACTTTGTGGACAGGAAGGATGGGGGTGGGGGGGCAAGCTAACAGCCCAGGATATAATATACTCAACTAGCTTGACACTTATCTGATAAAGAACAGAACGTGACCTACAGGCATTTGTAGTTTTCTCTGTTGGTCTCATGCCACCAACAACATGGCACCAGGCAACTGATATTGATAAATGTATGTGTGTTTGTGATTGTAATGTCAAGCTCGCGTTACAGAGCAACAGGCAGCACCACGTGATACTAGTTCTGCGAAAGTCGTGAAATAAATATTACCAAATATTATTGTGTAACAACTCCCTATCCATGCATCCTATATTTTTATTGAATGGAAGAGGGGTGCTAGGGGGGGGGGGAGACCTGTCTTAAATATGTTGTGTTATATTTCGCAATCTTCTCTTAAGTTACGAAATGGTGGCGTTGATATAGTGAAGGTGGGCGGTGGTGTCGAACGTTTAAGCTTGAAGGCATTGAAGATGGCAATTCATGCAGAATCGTTACAATTGAAAACTTAATATTCACGTTTAATATTTTCTTCGCTCTCTTGCACAATTTGAGCAAGGTGGGTGGCACACCTTAGTCATGGTGTAACCGCAAGCATCATGAAATGCTGGTTCTTGCAATAGACGTATTACATAAACTCTTTGCGCGTGGGCAGAGTTTGATAGTTACATGGTAAAATGATAAATATTAAATAACAGAGGGAGGGGTTTGATAGTTACATGGTAAAATGATAAATATTAAATAACAGAGGGAGGGGTTTGATAGGGGTGTGACATCATCAAAAGATTCTAGCGCTGGTATAGCGAGCTAGGGGTTTATGCACACAGATGGCTCGAGCTGTTTGATTGGCTGCAGTCCTCTCTTGTTGAACGCCCAACTGACGTTTCATGTGTCTTCTAATGAAACAAAATATTTTTTATTCTATTTTTTATTTAATTTAATTTCGATTCTTGAATAAATGTTAATGTATTTAAAATTTATTTCCAGATCGCCAAAATGGTTCGTATCATTAGTCTCATGACTTTGATAATCTCTGGACTAGCCAGAGAAACATTGGCGATTTCTGTCGATGACATGCTGGCGATGTTTGGACACAACGATGACTCAGCGATTATGTCTACACCCAGCTCGAATCTTTCCCAGACACATTTTAATTTCAACAATGACGGCAACTCTCAAGACAGCGCGAGTGTGCCGACTATGGAGACACATTTTAATTTCAACAATAACGGCAACTCTCAAGACGGCGCGAATGTGCCCACTATGGAGATTCCATTTGGAGAAATTGTCAACGAATTTCTATCGACCGTAGCTGTCCGAAACTGTCATCCTAATTATTGCGAGGTTTCGAACCCGTGTCCCGATGTCACGAAATGTTTATCGTATGGATGTAATATGACACGGTGTGATGAGCCGACACTAGAAGGTAAAATAGCATTATACAACACACCTTAGACCCAGAGCACATACATTTTCGCGTATAACACACCTACGCTTTACACATATAACACCCCCTCACCATCCATACACATAATACATACACCGGATAAACACCACACATATAGAAGGCAAATATTGCATGTCTACACGCAACACAAAACCTACACCAAGTATGACCCACATAATAACACTTTTATGTATAAACACGACTGACCTTGACCTCCTTGTTTTACTACAGAAGCTACCAAGCCACCAAACCATTGTATGGACGACAACATCACGTAAGTGTTAGACCACTGAGAAAATGTGATCCACCAAAATGTCAGGCTATAGCTCCTCTAATATCATCGCATTTGTCTACTTGCAAAATCCCAGGTTCAATAGGGGGGAGGGGGGTAAATTACGTCACGGTTTTTTTTTGCGACTCCCCCCCCCCCCTTAAAAAAATAATGTCCATTCGGGCAATTGTTGCATTCTTTCAAACGTCCATTGGGAAAATGACCATCGGGAAAACAGCCTTCGGGGTAATTTTCTTTCGGGCGTTAGTGGTAGACCCCACTTATCTTTAACAGGTGCCCCGACTTTACATTTTGTATTGAACTACTGAACTGTCCGTGTCAGCCTGGCTGGATGGGGAACTACTGCAACACACATTGTGACAAGCCGTGTGTCATGGGTCATGGGATGTGTCATGGATTTGCGGATGACACGCAAAACTATTGCAACTGTGAACATGAGTGGGAGGGAGAATTCTGTGAGAATGTTAAGCCAGACCCAAGAGGTAAGCCTGGTGGAGTGTTATGTAACATTTTCATTAATGTAGTTCCACTTGATGAAACCAAGTTTATGTAGCTCCACTTGATTTAACCAAGTTGATGTAGTTCCACTTAATTTAAACCAAGTTCAAGTAGTTCCACTTAATTTAAACCAAGTTGATGTAGTTTCACTTGATTAAACCAAGTTCATGTAGTTCCTCTAACACGAATGACCCCTGTCGTTAGTTCCTCTAACACGAATGACCCCTGTCGTTAGTTCCTCTAACACGAATGACGCCTGACGTTAGTTCTCCTAACACGAGTGACCCCTGTTGTTAGTTCCTCTAACACGAATGACCCCTGTCGTTAGTTCCCCTAACACGAATGACGCCTGACGTTAGTTCCCCTAACACGAATGACCCCTGTCGTTAGTTCCCCTAACACGAATGACCCCTGTCATTAGTTCCTCTAACACGAATGATGCCTGACGTTAGTTCCCCTAACACGAATGACCCCTGTCGTTAGTTCCCCTAACACGAATGACCCCTGTCGTTAGTTCCTCTAACACGAATGACCCCTGTCGTTAGTTCCTCTAACACGAATGACCCCTGTCGTTAGTTCCTCTAACACGAATGACCCCTGTCGTTAGTTCCCCTACACGAATGACGCCTGACGTTAGTTCCCCTAACACGAATGACCCCTGTCGTTAGTTCTTCTAACACGAATGACGCCTGACGTTAGTTCCCCTAACACGAATGACCCCTGTCGTTAGTTCTTCTAACACGAATGACCCCTGTCGTTAGTTCCTCTAACACGAATGCCCCATGTCGTTAGTTCCTCTAACACGAATGACCCCTGTCGTTAGTTCCCCTAACACGAATGACGCCTGACGTTAGTTCCCCTAACACGAATGACCCCTGTCGTTAGTTCCTCTAACACGAATGACGCCTGACGTTAGTTCCCCTAACACGAATGACCCCTGTCGTTAGTTCCTCTAACACGAATGACCCCTGTCGTTAGTTCCTCTAACACGAATGCCCCATGTCGTTAGTTCCTCTAACACGAATGACCCCTGTCGTTAGTTCTTCTAACACGACTGACCCCTGTCGTTAGTTCCTCTAACACGAATGACCCATGTCGTTAGTTCCTCTAACACGAATGACCCCTGTCGTTAGTTCCTCTAACACGAATGCCCCATGTCGTTAGTTCCTCTAACACGAATGACCCCTGACGTTAGTTCCTCTAACACGACTGACCCCTGTCGTCTGCCAGCCCTCGCCGTGAAGGCCCAGGAACAAGAGCACCACGCGCGAGTTATGGCCGGTGTGCTGACGGCGTGTGTCGCCTTTGTGTTGCTGTTGGCCATCGTAGTTCCTGTTGTGTTGTGGCGATTGAGGGTCATCTTCGTCATCAAACTCGTCTACTACTTCAAGGAGTACGAGGATTCGGGTGAGTGGCTCAGTTAGTGAGATTCGGGTGAGTGGCTCAGTTAGTGAGATTCGGGTGAGTGGCTCAGTTAGTGAGATTCGGGTGAGTGGCTCAGTTAGTGAGATTCGGGTGAGTGGCTCAGTTAGTGAGATTCGGGTGAGTGGCTCAGTTAGTGAGATTCGGGTGAGTGGCTCAGTTAGTGAGATTCGGGTGAGTGGCTCAGTTAGTGAGATTCGGGTGAGTGGCTCAGTTAATCAGGCTATCAACGGGTTGTTCTTTGCTTCACTAATTATCGAGGCTCGTTAGAGAGATGAAGGCCACATCAGCAGTGGTTCTTCCAGACTTTTTTCTCCGGGGGGGGGGGGCACTTGAAATCTTCGGGGGGGGGGAGGGGGGCGGTAGGCTTTCTTCGGGGGGGGGGGGGGGCGGACAATGTTAAAAGTATATATTTTCTTAATATAAATTTCAATTTCGTTCGGGGGGGGGGGGGGGGGGCGGTAAAAATTTTTCGGGGGAGCTTCACCCCGAAGAGATGCCTGGAAGAAACTCTGCACATCAGAAGCCTACTGTAATATAGTGAGACGTGAAGTCAAGGGAACTCACTCTTCTTGTATTAGTATTATATTTATACTGTTATCTTGAGTGATGTCCCTTACATGTATATAAAAAATTGTCTCTCGTCACTTCCGCCCTCTCTCGTTATCATCATGTAGTGGAAGGCCCAATAAACGTATTATATACAATCACATGCTTCCATCGTCAATCTATTACATCTGGCGACGAGGATAAATGATCCACTAGAAAGAGCACCTACCAGGGGCGGAACTACAGTGCCGCCAGACCCCGCAATGCGGGGGGGCCCACGCCATTTAGGGGCCCACGCCGACCATAATGATTTTTTTTTATAGTTTAAAAAAATACTTTTCTTGCATTTTTGACTTGATGTTTGTTTTGTAAAAAAAGATTACCGTAGCTGCGGTTGGATTATCTTTATTCTATAGACACAACCTCACGCTCATTTTTCCTTTGTTTTTAAACCACTGTGAAAGCCGAGTCCTCTTTCTCCTACAATAAAACTTATCAAAGATAAGCAAACTTTCAAACCACTTCCATGACTTATTTCCCTTTTTTTAAATAATCAAATAGTGATGCTCATAAGCTCCTTTTAATAGATTTGTACTAAACAAATTAAAAAGCAATTACTTCTCTTTATTATTATTTGCTTATAAACTACTTACTAAAGAATGACACTGCATAAAAAGGAAATGTATTTAAAATTAATAATATAAATACAAAAAAACTTAAAAATAAACATGACACGAGACACCATTATTTACAGAAAGCTTTCATGTTTTATATTCTTTTGACCGATTAGATGCTAGAGGTCATACAAAAGAGATAACATATAATTGATTTTCACATAACAGACTAATGCACTTACACACATGACATGATGTTGTAGTTTTTTTACTTTCTCGTATATACGTAGTATAGAGAAAGTATTGTAATCGTGCAAAAAAAAAAATCGAGATTTTTACAAATCTCGACGTTTTACACCTCACTGATACGGAAAAACATAATTTTGCAATCTTGTCCGTATGTCTGTGTGTGTGTCTGTGTGTCTGTCTGTCTGTGTGTCCGTGTGTAAACACGATAACTTGAGTACCGTTACAGCTAGGTTGATGAAATTTCATATATAAGTATTATATCAAAATCGTAGATCCGTATCAACTTTTGAGCGATTTCCGACAACCGGAAGTGGTACTTTTTCTACTTTGAATTTTTCAAAAGCCTATAACTTGAGTACTATTTCAGATAGATAAATGAAATTTCACATGTAAGTAAAAGATCTAATTCTCTACCTTCTGTTAAATTTTGAGTAATTTCCGTTGACGGGAAGTAGTAATTTACGCTACTTCCGATTTCTCAAAAAACTAATGTAAATTTATTAAGTACTAATACTATTGCGCACTATTATACGCACCTTTATTAGGCGTTCGCTTGGTGTGCAATTAATTTGTCTACGAGATTTTATTCTATTTTTAAAACTTTAAGTATTAAAAATGGATTAAAAATCATGTCTATAGCCCGAGTTTCCATCCTCTGTTATTTTATATAAGAATATTCGAGAAAGTTTAGGGGAGATCACTCCCGGTTTATTTAAATATACAAAAAACCCACGTATATATATATATATATATATATATATATATATATATATATATATATATATATATATATATATATATATATATATATATATATATATATATATATATATATAGGCCTATATATTTATATGGGGGGGGGGCCTAAAAATTTTTTTTGCGGGGTGGCCCTCCTTTTCTAGTTCCGCCACTGGCACCTACTTACGAAAAAAAGAGGTTTGCTAGAGCATATTAGCTGAGTATTTCTAGAATAACGGCGCTGTATGGCCAAATAAAAGAATTTGATTCGAATGATGAAACCATTCATGACTACCTAGATAGGTTAAGATTTTACCTTGAAGCTAACGACGTGACGACGGAAGCCAAAAAGAGAGCTCTTTGGTTAACAGTCATAGGGCCTCAACAATTTAGGCTACTAAAGGACTTATGCGCACCAGCTAGTCCAGATACCAAGAGCTTTAACGAGCTGAGCAAATTGCTAACAAACCACCATGCGCCTACCCCATCAAAGTTTCTATGTAGAGCTAGATTTGATGGTAGGACTCGTCACCCAAACGAGTCATTATCAGAATATGTTGCTGCTTTACGTCATCTAAGTGAATTTTGTGAATTCGGAGACACGCTGTCGGACAGACTATGTGAAAAGTTTGTGACAGGTGTAAATAGTCCGGATTTTCAAAGAAAGTTGCTGCTCGAGTCAGATCTAACACTGGAGAAAGCAATACAACTTGCAACTTCATTCCAGCAGTCATCCGAGGCGGCAAAATCTCTAACGCCCCCAGAGATCCATGCAGTAAATAGCAGGTTAGTCAACAAACACCAACCCCATCAGAGAATTTCAACTTATGCTAAACAGCCTGCACGTTCAAAGCCTAGATCTAAATCTAGTAATAATTATCAAAAATGTCACCGATGCAACGGTCCCCATGCATCTCATCGATGCAAGTTCAAATCAGCAACTTGTTGTAAGTGCAGTAAGCAAGGTCACATTGCCAAGGCCTGCCTTGCAAAGTCTTCGTCTGTTGCTAAATCTAGCCAGTCAAGACAGTACCGCAACCAAGGGCAGCACTATGTTAACTCTCACCAAGATTACCTAACCCAATCAATGAACCACTCTACCTGTGAAAATGCTCAAACTGATTCGCAGCCGGGTTTCAACCTGTTCTCTGTGAAATCAATAAGTCATGCTCCCATCAATGTACCAGTTTATATCAACGGTAAGAGCATCAGCTTCCAACTTGACACTGGAGCATCTCTAACAGTCATCACAAAGAAGGACCTTGACACTGTCACAGGAGGATCAGTGCCTCTACAACCATGTCACAAGTGTCTAACAACATACACAGGTGACAATGTTCCGGTGATAGGAGAGTGTATGGTTCATGTAAGTTATAATGGTCAAAGTTTTAAACTTCCTCTTATTGTGGTTGAAGGAAATGGACCACCATTACTAGGTAGGAACTGGTTATTTAATCTAAAGTTAAATTGGGAGAGTATATGTTCATTGAACAATGCAAGAGAATTTAGTCTTACTTCAATAGATAAAGTTATATCTGAAAATGAAAGTGTTTTTGGTAATCCAGGATTACTAAATGATAGAACAGTGAAGTTAAGCATTAAAGACACAAATCCAAGATACTGCAAAGCTAGAGTTCCACCTTATGCAATGAGGGATAAAATTGAAAATGAGCTAAGTAGATTGGAATCCAATGGCATCATAAAGAAGGTAGACTATTCCGATTGGGCAACGCCCATTGTGCCAGTGTTAAAGAAGGATGGTTCTGTAAGAATTTGTGGAGACTATAAAGCTACACTGAATAAGCAAATAGAGCTAAATAGGTACCCTATTTCTAACATTGAGGACATTTCTTTCAATTTGGCAGGAGGAGACAAATTCACTGAATTAGACTTTAGTCAAGCTTACACTCAACTAGAACTGCATCCAGATTCAAAAGTCTATACGACAATAAACACTCATAAAGGATTCTACCAATATGAAAGACTATGTTTTGGCATATCATCCAGCCCTGGAATTTTCCAAGCTGTCATGGACAGTATTTTTAAGGATATTCCAAATGTTTGTGTTTATTTTGACAATGTGTACATAACTGGTAAGAATGACACTGAACATCTTAAAACACTTGATAAAGTCTTGAAAATAGTTGGTGAAAAAGGTTTAAAGATAAACAAAGATAAATGTCAATTCATGCTGACAGAAATTAGTCTTCTTGGTTATATTTTAAGCAAACAAGGTATCAGACCTCAACCTGAGAAAACAAAAGCCATTAAAGAATTCACCATCTTTACAGATCATAAACCATTGCTAGGTTTATTTGGAGAAAACAAACCCCTACCAGAGCATGCCTCATCAAGAATTCAAAGATGGGCTATCACACTAGCCGCATACAATTATGAATTGAAATACAAACCTGGATCTGAGAATAGTGCAGATAGTCTTAGTAGATTACCTTTAAGATACCAAAGCCTTTGCTATGTACCAGAAGATGTATTTGTTCTCTTCACTATCATGGATAACTCCAATATAAATGTGAATGATATTAAAAGAGAAACACAAAAAGATGAGTGCTTAATAAAAGTATATGAGTACTGTAAGAATGGTTGGCCTGAAGAGTCTGTGAATGATGACTTAAGGCCATATAAAATAAGAAAAATGGAGTTAAGTCTAAAAGATGGAGAAGATGCAGTCCATTATCAGTCAGAGTTACCTCAACAAAGTAATTGTAACTTAATAAATGATTATGGTGATATGGCAAATTCAAATGCTTTAAATAAGAAGGAATGTGATCATCAAACAACTTTGCTAACATCATTAGCACTTACAGAAACTAAAAGGGTAACATCAAAAGGAAAAAGATTTTTGCCATTTAATACACCCACTTCAAATACTGGATCACAGTTGCAAATTGATATGGTCCAGAATATTACTTTTAAACAGTATTTTTGGTTACTTTCAATCAAAGAAATCTATGTCAGTCAAGGATCTGAATAACAGCATAATACTTCCAGATGCCAATTTAAAAATAGTTCCATTAAATCATGACAAAACATGCATTGAAAGAGAATTTGGTGTTAATGAGAATGTGTATCTAAGAAATTATGGGAGAAAGGAAAAATGGATACCAGGTCAAATTGTTCAATGTACAGGACCTGTGTCTTGTAAAGTAAAAACAAATGATGGACTTATTGTCCGTAGACATGCAGACCAGTTAAAAATAACTTGTGCAGATAATAAGTGTGAATCTATCAATCCCACCAAATCTGAACAGTTCACACCAACTCAGTTTGTTCCACAACCAAGTTCTGTTCATATGAGTGAACCAAGTTGTCTAGAGTCAGAAAATGTAAATTCTGGAATTAATGATTTAGAACCTAGACCTTATGAGATAGAGAATCCAGATGGTCAGAATCTTGAGTCACCAAATCAAAAGCCACTGAGAAGGTCAAACAGGACAATCAAAGTCCCAAATAAGTTGGACCTATGATTTTAAAGGTCAAAAGGACTTTGACATCATTGTTTTGTATTTGAATTATGTTGTAACATATTGTGCATTGTTTGTAAGGATGTAATTTACCATAGTGTTCATGTTACAATATAATTGGTGATTTAGGATACTGCAAATTGTTCTATTGAGAGATGTGTTGTGTTTACTAAGGGTAAAGGGATGTAATATAGTGAGACGTGAAGTCAAGGGAACTCACTCTTCTTGTATTAGTATTATATTTATACTGTTATCTTAAGTGATGTCCCTTACATGTATATAAATAATCGTCTCTCGTCACTTCCGCCCTCTCTCGTTATCATCATGTAGTGGAAGGCCCAATAAACGTTTTATATACAACCACATGCTTCCATCGTCAATCTATTACACCTACACTTCTAGAGATAGCATGGTCTACATGATGGAGTTTTCAGCAGGGGAAATAACTTAATAATTTGGTTTTAGAGATATATTTAATTAGATAATTAATTGTGTTATTAAAGATATTAGACTTCGTATAGATACATTTTTAAATTTCATACTATGAGACCAAATAAATGACTTTGCTAGCTGCTAGTAAACGATGAGTAACTGCTTATATTATCACCCTTCTATGCTTTTAAGCTAACAAGGGAAGAAACTCGTGCTCTCAAAAAATATTTTTAAGTCTTTATACATCTTAAAGGTCTATAATGATTCTGTTTTTAACGACCCGGTCACTTGTATTAGAAGTTAAGGCCAGGGGATATCGTAGAAATTTGTCTTACGTTTCTAGTGCCTCCAACCAAAGCTTCCATTCTACTGCAATATTTAAATTAATTTTTGTGCGATAAACATCTTTTTGTTAAAAAACATAAAATAAATTAATCAACCTGTCTGTTGTGTTTGTAACAGATGGTAAACAGTACGACGCTTATGTCTCCATGACGCCAACTGCCAGCGCTGAAAAATTTGTTTACAACGAACTGAGGCCGGTCCTGGAGGATCGTGGGTTCAAGTTGTACATTCAGGCCAGGGACAGCCCTTCTAATGAAGGTAAGACTAGGGACAGCCCTTCTAATGAAGGTAAGACGGTGTACATTCAGTCCAGGGACAGCCCTTCTAATGAAGGTAAGACGGTGTACATTCAAGCCAGGGAGAGCCCTTCTAATGAAGGTAAGACTAGGGACAGCCCTTCTAATGAAGGTAAGACGGTGTACATTCAGGCCAGAGACAGCCCTTCTAATGAAGGTAAGACGGTGTACATTCAGGCCAGGGACAGCCCTTCTAATGAAGGTAAGACGGTATACATTCAGGCCAGAGACAGCCCTTCTAATGAAGGTAAGACGGTGTACATTCAGGCCAGGGACAGCCCTTCTAATGAAGGTAAGACGGTGTACATTCAAGCCAGGGACAGCCCTTCTAATGAAGGTAAGACAGTGTACATTCAGGCCAGAGACAGCCCTTCTAATGAAGGTTAGACGGTGTACGTTCAGGCCAGAGACAGCCCTTCTAATGAAGGTAAGACGGTGTACATTCAGGCCAAGGACAGCCCTTCTAATGAAGGTAAGACGGTGTACATTCAGCCAGGGACAGCCCTTCTAATGAAGGTAAGACGGTGTACATTCAGGCCATGGACAGCCCTTCTAATGAAGGTAAGACGGTGTACATTCAGGCCAGGGACAGCCTTTCTAATGAAGACTAGGGACAGCCCTTCTAATGAAGGTAAGACGGTGTACATTCAGGCCAGGACGGCTCTTCTAATGAAGGTAAGACGGTGTACATTCAGGCCAGGGACAGCCTTTCTAATGAAGGTAAGACTAGGGACAGCCCTTCTAATGAAGGTAAGACGGTGTACATTCAGGCCAGGGACAGCCTTTCTAATGAAGGTAAGACTAGGGACAGCCCTTCTAATGAAGGTAAGACGGTGTACATTCAGGCCAGGGACAGCCCTTCTAATGAAGGTAAGACGGTGTACATTCAGGCCAGGGACAGCCCTTCTAATGAAGGTAAGACTAGGGACAGCCCTTCTAATGAATGTAAGACGGTGTACATTCAGGCCAGGGACAGCCCTTCTAATGAAGGTAAGACCAGGGACAGCCCTTATAATGAAGGTAAGACCAGGGAAAGCCCTTCTAATGAAGGTAAGACGGTGTACATTCAGGCCAGGGACGGCCCTTCTAATGAAGGTAAGACTAGGGACAGCCCTTCTAATGAAGTTAAGACCAGGGACAGCCCTTCTATTGATGGTAAGACCAAGAACAGCCCTTCTAATGAAGGTAAGACCAGGGACAGCCCTTCTAATGAAGGTAAGACCAGGGACAGCCCTTCTAATGAAGGTAAGACGGCAGAAAGTTGTAGGCCACAATAGAGCTGGTAAGTAGGTCACCAACCAGTTCTACGGCTCAATAAAACCTGCATGAGTCATAGTACTGGTTGGTGACCTACTTACCAGCCCTATTGTAGGCCCATAAGCAGAGTAGGCCTTAGAAACTAAATGAGGGACGTTACTATAAACAAGTACAATTTATATTGTAAGCATACAAATAATGAATTTTTAACTCATTTGCCTTAGTTTTCTTATTCACTTCTGACTGAATTGAACAGCTTGTTAACAGCTTCCTATTGATTAGGCCTAACAATTTTAATTAATTAATTTATTAATCAGCCTTGAGTGATATAATACTGTCAGCCCTGGAAAAAAGTAGACGAACGATAATGGTGGTGACGTCAGATTATCTCAGTAATGAGTGGAACAGATTTGAGTATTTGATTGCCCAGCATGAGACCCTGAAGCTCAAACAGAGGATCATCTCAATCATTCTGGAAGACATTGATAAGGTAGGCATATGTACATTTTCTCTTGTTTTTTTTATATCAACCCCCAGAAATTTGAATTAAATTTTTAAAAATATTTTCCTTATTTGAAATATATTTAGTAAAAAGTGTTCTTTGAATGCAATGTTGGGGTCAGGTGGTCAGGCTGATAAAGCTCATGGCTGATAAACTGGATTGACACGAGTTCGAACCCCTGGCAGATGAGGCATGACAGTTGGGGACATCAACACATCTAGGAGAGTAAACTCCAAAATCAAACAACTGTATTTCAACTGCTGCCTTGTAGTTTGTTCTTGAATGGACAAAGACTATGGAAGCAAATTTAGAATAAAAAGCAGAATGAAATTTGAGTCAACAGGCCATATAGTACATAATAAGATGACAAGTTAAACTTCATTATGTTGGAGGAAATCCTGTTCAACATTACAATTAAGAACAATGAAGAAGATGGAATATTTTCATTTATATTTAAGACCAACTAATCAGATTATGTTTTCAATTTTCATCAAAAATTTCAAACTGGTTTTATATTTGTAATATTGTTTTTAGGAACAAGTGAAGCTGGACAAATCGTTGAAATACATTTTAGACTCTGTTAAATGTCTGAACCACCCGCGCCTGAAGCAGCAAACTGATGCACAGAGACCTGAGCTTGGAGAACCTTCAGCCAAGAGTGATAAAGAAATCTGGCACACAGAGATGAGTGAGAAAAGTTTCAAGTCCAGTATCTCTCAAGAAAAAGTGGAGTATGAGAAGAGAGAGAAGAAATTCTGGCAACGGCTTGAGCTCAGCATGCCCAAGAAGAAAAAACAGAACAAAAAGAAGGCAAATAAAAAAACTGTTGAAAATCCTAAAGTCAAATCTACATGTATAGAAAAGTTTGGAGCCAAGAGAAATCTTCCGACTAAGGAAGACGCGAAGGTTGTTACTATTGGTTTCAAAATGAACAATTTGAATGAAAGTTCTGGAATGCCATGCAGTAATTTGGAAAACAAGTTCTTGAATATTCTAAATGGGGAGCCATGTGTTACTGATCCCTCATCCTCAAGGCCACAGTCAACTGAAATGGAATCTACCTCAGGGCCACAGTCAACTGAAATGGAATCTACCTCAGGGCCACAGTCAACTGAAATGGAATCTACCTCAGGGCCACAGTCAACTGAAATGGCATCTGGCTACTACAACACCTCTCACAGCATAGACTTTTTGTTAATGGAATTTGGTGAAATTTTTTTTTAAGCATGAATTCTGTTTTAAACTGATTTGAACTAGCTGATGACAACTAAAGTGTAAGTTACTCGTCAGTTTACCAGAAAAGCACAAACTATTTTATTTTTTGATGTAGTTACTTTTTTGCAATTGATACAGCTAAACCATTTAAGTCCTGCAACATGTAAAAACAGCCATTTGATATTTGTGTATGTATACAAAATATTTAATCTGACTGAGAGCGTCAAAGTAAAAAAAACATATCACCTTCCTCCCAGTTAAGCTCCCAGCTAGTAAGATCCCCACATACCTTAGATCATTTTGTTAGTGCTTTAGGAAGTTCAATAACTTTCTAAAAGAAAATTTTACTAAAACACAAATGCGTTCATATCAACTAGATTCCTGATCAGAATCTTTAATTTGCGTATTCCTTGTTCATGTGACGTTTTGATCAATTTTAACTGATGGTAATTTAATGACAAAAGAGTAGTGACAGCTATAACACAACAAGCTGTAGAAATTTTGCAAACATCAATAAAAATCTAATATATAAAGCTCAGTTCTGTATGTGGCAAAAAAGTATGTCGTTGGAATTTCTACGGATTTAAGTGTTAAATCAATTATCGTGCGCAGTTGTCTAAATTTATGAGTTAAAAAATTAATATTGAAAGTGTTGGAAAATAATTTTCATTTTTCAAATTATAGCATTAATTGTCGGAATGGTCATTAAACGCAAGTTTTAGAAAAATATCATCTTTTACAAAAATTCTAATTTTTGTCTTTATTTAGTCCTATAGCACTTACTTCCCTTTGATAAATTAGGAAAACACAAATTACTTCCCTTTATAAAACCATTGCATTAGTCTCATTAGTGTAAAATAATTTACTTTTTATTACTTTGTTTTGGTGTTGGGAAAAAAAATAATTACATAATTAGCGGGGATTGATTAAGTGCAATGTCGTTAGGTATTTTTAACACTGCCTTTTATTTATTCTATACACTGAACATACTGTTGAATAATTATTTTTTTTTAAAAATCAATAACATTTAATATAGCCAGGTCCTACAAATCCTATATGTTTATTTCTTTCCATTTACGGATAAGCTTGGAGTATTATCATTTTTGTTCACTAAATTGAAACAGGCGCGTCCGCCGGCGCCCCTGCACGGTTCGATTTGGCACCCTAGGCTATCATGTTAGCGCTATGCTGCATAATTTTTTTTTGAACAGTGCGATAGACTATGGATAAGAAAGGTTACTATAGTCTTTAAGTGAATCAAATCCGGGCGTCCTCCGGCACCCCGACAGAGTGCTATTTGGCGCCCCGGGCCTTCCGGTGTACGCTAGGGTATCTACGTTCGCGTGAGTTCAAAAGACTATGAATAAGTTATGTACTATAGTCGTTTACTAAGTTCAATCAGGTGGTGACGTCATGGTGTGTCCTCTGGCGCCCAGACAGGGTGCTATTAGGGGTCCCGGGCCTCCCGTGTTCGGTTTCGCGCCTACGTTCATTAAAGTGAGTGCAAAAGACTATGAATAAGTTGGGGTACTATAGTCGTTTATTAAGCTGAAGCAGGCGATTCAGCCCCGTGAGCACTTTGCGTTTATGTTCGCGTTAGTATTTTCTTTGTGTTTAGGTTGGGTTTGCGTTAGTGGTTGCGTTTTGATTTGGTTCGTTTTTGTTCTTTATTTTTTTGTTTTCGTTTGTGTTTTCTTTTCTTTGGGTTTGGGTTTGTGTTTGTATTTGTGTTTGTGGTTGGTTTTGCGTTTGGATTTGGTTTGTTTTCGTTTGTTTTTCCTTTAGTGTTTTTTTCTTCGGGTTTGTGGTTGGTTTTGCGTTTGGATTTGGTTTGTTTTCGTTTGCTTTTTCGTTTGTGTTTTTTTCGTTGTGTTTGTGTTTGTGGTTGGTTTTGCGTTTGGATTTGGTTTGTTTTCGTTTGTTTTTTTGTTTGTTTTTTTCTTTCTGTTCGTATTGGTGTTTGTGGTTGTGGTTGGTTTGTTGTTAGATTTTGTTTTCGTTTGTATTTGTAATTGTGTTAGCTTTTATTTGCGTTTTGTTATTTTGGTTTTGGTTGGTTGTAGTTTGGGTGGGCAATGCCGGGTTTATGATGATAACTAAACATACACGTAATGGTCTTTAACAGAAAGGTTTTTCACAGAAGCCAGAGCAGGGCCTGGCCGGGACGGCTAGTCTAATATACTAGATAAATGGCCCGTTGAGGAAGGGTACAACGGGCGCTAGGCTGATAGTGCTGCCTCTTTTCTCTAAACTAAAACCAACCCACCCCCCCCCCCCCCACACACCACCCCCACCCCACCCCCCACCACACACCACCCCCACCCCTCACCCCCACACACCACCCCCTCCACACACCGCCCCCCCCCACCCCTCACCCCCACACACCACCCCCTCCACACACCGCCCCCCCACCCCCCACCCCCCCCCCCAAAAAAAAACATGTCTACCGTCCCATTCAACGAAATATAATTATATACTTTTTCCAGTGTCCGCCCCCTCCCAGAAAATTCTACCCCCGCCCCCGAAAATTTCAAGTACCCCCACCCCTCTCCGGGGAGGAAAAAGTCTGAAAGAAACACTGAAACCAACCCACCCCCACACACCACCACCCCCACACACCACCCCCACCCCCCACCACACACCACCCCCACCCCCACACACCACCCCCTCCACACACCGCCCCCCCACCCCCCACCCCCCCCCCCCCCCCAAAAAAAACATGTCTACCGTCCCATTCAACGAAATATAATTATATACTTTTTCCAGTGTCCGCCCCCTCCCAGAAAATTCTACCCCCGCCCCCGAAAATTTCAAGTACCCCCACCCCTCTCCGGGGAGGAAAAAGTCTGAAAGAAACACTGAAACCAACCCACCCCCACACACCACCCCCCCACACACACCCCCCACACACACACCCCCACCCCTCCACCCCCCCCCCCCCCCCCAAAAAAGCATGTCTACCGTCCCATTGCAAGAAAACCACGTTTTAGATTAGACACATTAATTAGGCGGTAATTTTATTATAGAGTATCGATGAGGAAATTTCTTTTGAGTTGGGGAGGCGGGGGGGGGCTCAGACGTTCTTACGCGGGGGGTGGGGCTTCGCCCCTACCCGAAGAATTGTATGCAAGAAACTCTTCACGCAAACCATTTAGATTAGACAAAATTTCCTTTGTATTCAATATTTACGCGATAATCAATGACGTCATATAACTGTGTGCACTCTCTGGGTTTGAGATTATTTTCTACTTTGTGCGCTAAATGTGTCGACGTCATACTTCGTTTTTCGAATTACTATGCATGTTTTTAAATTGCTTGTCTTTTTTCTAGAGCGTTCTTGTCAGACAGACAGATAGATAGATAGATAGATAGATAGATAGATTAGATTAGATTAGATTAGATTAGATTAGATTAGATTAGATGAGATGAGATGAGATGAGATGAGATGAGATGAGATGAGATGAGATGAGATGAGATGAGATGTGGAGCTCACAACTAGTGTGGAGCCATGCATGCCATGGGACATATTAACCAAAATTATTTGGAAAAAAAAATACTATTAAACTATAAATAAATTATAAGTAAAATAAAGCTAGTTTAAAAAATGTAATCAACACTTGAATATACCTTACATCTAATAACACCATAATATAGCTTATGTGAAAGAATACTCTGCAATGTTACAATGTAAAAATTTATAAAATAGCACCACGTTGGGCCTCATAGGCCTACTTGTTTTATATAATGTCATCCCACTGTAAGATTGACAGTGCTAGTTCTCACCTTTCAATGTCTTGTTGGTGCAGTGAGATTTCCTCAAGTGTGGAAATTTGACATTCGTTATGTTCAGCTCTTTTGCGGACTAAATCCTCTGTGACTAGAAATTAAAATTATTTCATTGAGACAAAAATAAAAAACCATTAATTTACCTGCTTTATTAGTTTTGCGTTTCATATTTTATTTGGCAAATGGAATGTACTTTAGTATTGTTGATTTTGAATGTATTTTTTTCAATAATTAAAAATTAAACTTAGTAGGCTACTTAGATCTAGTACTGACGAATGGATCAAGGCCCTAAATATTAGCCTACATATTATTATTTTTTAATTTTATTTTTATTAGGCCTGACGTAGCTAGAGTACTACTAACTAGTAACTAGTTTAGGGGTCATCCATAAATGACGTCATGCTTTTTTTGACAATTTTTACCTCCCCCCTCCCCTTTGTCACATGTCTACACAAAAAGCCAGAACCCCCCCTCCCTAAAATGACGTTACACCTCAATTACAACCCCCCTCAAAATTGCAGTTGAATTTTTTTTAAAACATCGATATTTTTCTAAAATCTTGTCTAAACTATTACAATTTATTAAAACAGTTAGAGTAAAGTGGCGTCTGCGGACAGACGTAGCAAAAAAAACGGAAGTGCTGATTTCCATTGAGCGCCATTCAGTAACCGCTTCACATAGAAACAAACCGAAAGTACCGTCTCACTCCGCATTCTTTCTAGTTTAATCACGTCTGATTCATTTTGTATTCATACGCATAGCATTGAATGTATTAACATTTTCAGTGGTGAGACTCTGTGCGGACAGTAAGTGGACTTTTTTTTACATTTTATTTTCTGTGCGCACACTTGCTCCTTATGCGGACAAGGCATATTTTGTTCATTTTATTTCTATTTAAATGATTGAAATAAACATGTTACATACATAAATAGTGTTGTTGATTGTTTTATATATTATTATATTGGAAAACAAAAAATATGAAGAAATATGAAATAAGTTTTAATTAAATTAAAGTGATGCCTGAAAGAAACTCAGGACCCAGTTGAGATTTTATTTCACTTTTTGCTTAGTAGACACGTTTGATGATCAAAAATATTTTTAAAACCTAAAAAACATTACTAAAAACTTATAGATCTAGATTTAGACTTAAATTTAAATATAAATCTGGAGTATCAAGATTAGTTCAAAGCTCCTTTTTACTTAAAGTGTAAGAAATATACTCTGATTTTTCATTAGTGTCCGCTAAAGGTTAACCCTAAAAAAAGATGCGGACACCCCAATTTTTCCTCTAAGATGGCTTAAACAACCTTAACTATGATATTTATAGCTTCCTATATATATATATAAGCTATTTATAGTTAACCCAGTTAACTAAGCTATGATTGGTTCGATTTATTCCTCTAATCCGGGGACTAGTGCTCTTCATCCGGGTGAGGTTCCCTTTCATAAAACGTCATACATCGCAACTTTGAAAAATTCCAATTAATCTCCCTATTGAGTGAAATAGAAGAAATGGACTCAGATGTGTTTAAAAATGGACATGCTTTGTGTTTTTTGCGTTAGTTTCCTATCAAACATTCATACAATTATTGTTTAAGCGAAAAACAGCAAGGTGTCCGCACAGAGGCAACTGTCCGCAGACGCCACTTTACTCTAGATCTATCTAAAATGCGAAATAATGTCTAAAATTTGTTTTCTAACATTGCTTTTTTATAATGCAAAAGTTTGACGTCGCAATGTCTGACCCCCCCCCCCCCCTATCCCCCTCATCACACTTTGTCACAAAATTACGGACCCCCCTCCACCCTACGAGTGTGACGTCATTTATGGATGACCCCTTACTAGAGTAGTACTACTACTACTAGATCTAGAATCTAAATCTAGATCTAGTAAGTACTAGTTACTTAGTTGTTAGTTACTAGACTAACAGTCACTAACACTCTAGACTCCTAGAGTGTCCTAGTCACTAGAGTTAATTATAAGTCTAAGACTAAGAGTCTGTTTAATTTAATCATTTAATTTTTTATTTTAATACTAATTTTTATAGGTCTATCAAAATTTGGAACTATTATTCTTACTTCGAACCATTTTAAAATGTCGTCGTGCTAAATTCAAGTTCTAGATCTAGATTTAGAGACCTAAACCTAAGTATTAGAAATCTAGTAAGTACAGGAACTATGATCAAGAAATTATCTGTCTCCACAGAAGCTACAACCATTACATTTTCCGGTTCCGGTAAACTTCCGTATAAAAAAAACAATAAAAAC